CTCTCCCTCCCTCACCATGGGGGGGGCATTGATCCGCCCCCTGCCCTTCCACCACAACAGACTTACCAGGTGCACCCAGCTCTTCAAGCTGCTGGGCTGTACCTGTTGCTGCCTGCGTGCTGTGCTACAGCTGTGCACACGCGTGGACGTTTATCGGCCAAATTATCAGCTATATCAGGCCGGTTTATGATATAGTCGGTTTTCTTTATATCGGTGCCGATCCGATATCAGACCGATGTATTGGTGCACCTCTACTTTTAAATGACCATAATCATCGTTTGTGGACCGCTTAGACATAGTTTGTGGACCCCCAGGGGTCTGCCGAGCATAGGTTGAAAAATGCTGTGCTAGGTCACGTTTCGTCCCCTATATTTTTTTTTTTTTTCCTTAAATTATGTTCCTAGGGTAATAGTTCCAACTTGTCCATAATATTATCTTCTCTCACACAATACATACCTTAATTTCACCTGCCTTGGGTTTCTGGTTTTTTTTCAAAGCAGAGAAGCTGTTGTTGTGTTTTTTTTGTGTCTATCTTTTTTTTTTCTTGACTGGAAAAGGACCAAGCCTGGAAACCATGATACTGTGGAGCCACCAAGATGGTTGCTGCTTAGGCCTGCTTAACAAACTGAAGGAGTTGAGTCTGTTTTAACCCTCTCACAGCTATAGCTATTGGCTGTGCATTGTATGGTAAAAGCTTCATTAACTGGCATGCTTTATTAAACAGTATGCTGGTCGATGCGGCAAAAGTGAAACTGGAAGCAGGACTTCTGGTTTCATTGAGTCCCACTTCAGGCCATGGCCTGGAGCAAAGCAGCCTGTACTGAGACCTCCTCCCTGTCCCCTGGCACACTGATGCCAGGGGACGGGCGGCGCGGTTAATATGAGATGTAGACTTGCCAGATGTGGCTGGAGGGACATCTTTGCCCGACCAGGCAAAGACGCTTCTCGGGTGACCAACATATTCGGTTACCTGGCACCCCCCATTCCCCATGGGTCTGGATAACATGGCTTTTGCTGTAGTTTGTGCATGAAGCAAGCGAGCCACTTACAGTATCTTGATGAGGCTTGGGATGTGGAAGCAACACTTCATTTACAGAAACTTGCCTAAAGAGTGACTTAAAGTAAAGAACTAACCTTCTGGGACCTAATATTGGGTGACAAAGTCCTTTTGGGAACATATAGTGTCCAGGAAGTGTGGTATCATAGGAGACAGTTGGCTACTCCAGGAAGGGCCTAATGTCATGTTTCCTGGACCCTCTTTCTTACTCTGTCATGCAGTTGCCCATGACTCTGGAAGAACCTTCCTCCCTCCAGGACAGTTTCTTTCAAAAACAGCATACATATTTTATTTGGGGGGGTGTTGTATGTGAGAGTGTGCAGTATTTGGCGACTACAACAGTTCTAGCTTGTCCCTTTGTGGTAGTTCAGATACAAACTGTGAATTGCTATTGTACAAACATAGAAGCTGTAAGCTTTTTAGAGGCTCTAAGCTAATTTGAAATATTCAACGAAGCAGTAAATACACAAAAAGAAGAGAAGTGGGAAGGAGAGGATAAGCATAACTGTCATAGTTTGAGCTACTGGATTATGTAATCAGCTATATTAGACATACACAGCATAACTGACCAGTTGACTGCTTTTTTGACCTGCATAGCACAAACATGTAATGTTTATATTGACCGTGTATGTTCCTTCATATACTGCAAGATGATGTCTGTCTCCCCACCCCTCCATCCTGCCACTTAATACGGGGAAAAGGGGAAGCCCCTCCTCTTGCAGGGGAAGACGGGTTGTGACTCCAACTTCAGCCCTGACCCCTTATCTCCATTTAACGGGGGAGGAGGGGAGGGTGGTGCTCATCTTGGATTCCAGGGTGTGGGGGGAGTAGCAGATAGCTTTGACCCTGACCCAGGGGTTGGAGCCAGAGCTGCAGCAGCTGCCTGACCATTTTCGCCGACCCTGCCACTGACCGTCTGTCTAGTCACATACTGCCTAACTCCTTGCCACTGCTTCGAGGGGGGATGCTCCAGGAGGTCCTGTTGCATGGCCAGCTGCTGCTGGTAGCTGCCATCAGTTACTCAGTGGGATTTTAGATTGTCTTAACTCAGCCTTGGACTTGTTGAGCCATCTCCTGTTATACTAAAGACTTTTCTTTATACTCTGTATGGGGAGAGTAATTTGTGGGTGTATAAAAGATTCCATAAATATAATGAAAATGTTGGCTTGAAATTAAGGGATGTCAACAGAGGTTGAGCCCATACTGATAATGATGTTCATATATGGTTTTGATAACTTGAAGATTTTTATCTTCTTAACAATTTAAAAGGTGGTGGAGGAGGGCCTTTCTCCATCCTCTACAGCCAACATGCATAGTTACACCATGAGCAGAAGCGAGATATTATAAAAGTACATTTACAGTGTTGTGTTTATCAGAACACAGGCAATGTGGAGCAGGAAACTTAAGCCATAATAATAAAATGTGATTGTTGGTTAGAAATTGCTGTAGAGAGTTTATATGCTTAAACAGTGTCTACCCTAGGGAACTCTTCTAAAATCCCACTAGTGACCTGGTTCAGGTACAAGCATATTTAACTAACTTGGTAACAAAAATGCCTTTGTGTAAGCTTTGGTTCCCACTGGTGCAGATCAAAGCTGTTAGACTGAGGAGGAACAGCAAGTGCATAACTATGCTTTATTAAACACTAATTAAGCCTTAAGAGTACATACCACATGGGAAGATTTTTCTCTATTTTATAGATCAGGTAGCTTAAATCAAAGACCACAGAGGAAGATTGCATCAGCTAGCTGCAGCAGGACAGTGAGTTTTTGGGTCTCTAATCCTGTGATGAATTTGCATCTGTTGTTAAACTTTTAAGCATGTGATTGAATCAAGGGAGCATCTACTCTATAAACAATAAATCGTCCCCAGCTGAAAAAAGTATTGATGCTCGGAGCAGAGCCCCAAATCACATGTTCAAATCCCTTGGGAACTCCAAAGTTGTTATTCAAGATGAAATATAATAGCTTTCCCTTTAGAGTAAGTAACATGTAGGACAGGCAGTTCAGTGCTCTTAATACAGTGAAGCTAAGTGATACTAAAAGGAGAACAGTACATGAGGTAAATTTAAGGTCTCTTTATGACATGCCATGTCATGGTGCCCTTTATGATGAAACTACTTGATAAGGATTCATATTTTTACATACACCTGCAGTGTTTGAAAGTCACCAACTGAGTTATTGGTAAATAGGCAGCTTTGCATAATGATTCAGGGGGTCAAAGTACTCTATTTCTACAGAGCTTGAGTTTTAATTTCTAATGGGGCTAGAAATGTGAAAGATCAACAATCGGAATCTTTCTGATTCTGCAATTTGTCCAATACAGAGTGTGCTAGACTTTTGTCTCCTTCTTTAACAGACTGAAAAGTGCAGTTGCAGTCTGGTCATTTTCACTGTAGCTGATTTAAAAAAAACAACCAACTTGTGGATATCATGGCTGTCTAAGTGAATATGAACATTCCATTCTTCTGCTGTTTGGGAAGCTATATGTCGTAGAAGAGACTGCAGTCATAGTCACTTGCATGGAAGGAGGGCCTAAAACAGAGGAGACTCAAGGTGGGATAGAGTAATAACTGTCCCCTTCCCAGCACAAAGGTAGGCTAGGTGTGCAGATGTGTTCCTTATCTCCTGGAGACTGAGGGATGCTGGTCTTTCAATTTGACAGAGAAGACTTGTGGTCACATCCTTATGAGCAGGGGGCATGCAGTTGCAATGGGGGGAAGAAAGCAGTGACAAATTTGTGCCGCTGCTTTTTAACCCAGTGCATACCCCTGCATGTAGGGGTTAGTGCAGGGGACAAATGTTCTGGGTGGAGTAGGGGATGCTGGGGCCAGCACCTGGGCTGGCCCCAGCATCTTTACTTGGGGTCCTGGAGGCCTCTTGGGGTTTCAGTGGTGGCGATGCAGGCACAGAGAGCCTGGCTGGCATCCAGATTCATGGCTCTGGCCGACCAGGCTTCGGTTTCGGGCAGCACATAGTGCCACCACATGCACTACACCACTTTTTTCTGGCATGTTTGTTTGGTTTTTGGTTTTGTTTGTGTTTTGTTTTTGACACCAGGATCTCCTGGTAACAAAACCCACTGTGCTGCTAATTTGCAGCATGTTGAACGCCTGCATGTGCAGCACATGTGGCTTGCATCGTCACAGACAGGCATGGATGACCCTGGGGGGGGCACCAGCGGCCAATAATCGACTGGGGAGATGGGGGTCCCCCAATCACCAACCCTGGAAGTGCTGGCGTCTCACGGGGAGCATCCATAGTGAGGACCAATTTCAGGGGGGCATGTGTCCCCTTGCGTGTCACCTATGCAGACGGGTTCTTTCTCTTTGAAAGTGTAGGGCATCTTGAAAGTTAAGTACTGTTTTTCAATTCGTCTTTTAATATAAATAAATCATGAATGACCTTAAAATATCCTTTTCTTTTTAGCATCAAGGTATTGGTCGGCCAAGTGTATACCATGCTGTGGTGGTTATATTCCTAGAATTCTTTGCCTGGGGACTATTGACAACACCCATGCTAACAGTAAGTATTGCCAATATATATTTTATTGAATAACGCAGCATGTTAACTTGGACTCCATATTTAGACAACACACTGGTCTGAAACTTGTAACAATCTGTGTCAGTCTTGAATTGGGCTTGTCAGCCACAAATGGATTCGTGAGGCACCCGACTAGACTTCTTGCACATACACCATGATCCAGAGAATAGGTGGCTGCTTATAATATTTACAGTAATCAAATTGAGCTTGGTTACAAGGTTATGATTATAATCAAGGTTATATCCAGCTGACTAGCTAATGAATGTCTCTCCTCTTCTGTGTAGCTTTTTGTTCCTATTACAACACCATGACTCTTAACAGTCAGGTTGCAAAAATGTCCAAATCTGGACTGGCAGCATTCTGATTTGGCTTGTCACAGGTAGAATACCTGGCGTGCTAGATCTTATATATCAGGTTTCTCTTTTTTTTTTTTTTTTTTTTTTTTAAAAACAGACTTCCATAATGACTCCCTACTTTACCTGCAGATGATAAAGCAGATTCTGATTACAAACTGTACAATTTTGTTTGGTAGGGTGGGTGTCTTGTTATATCAGTATAGAACTTCTAGTAAAATTTAAAAGTCCTTATGTGAAAAGTAGGCGTGGTAACTGCTTAAACGGCTGGAATGCAGTTTTGTTTAGGTTGCCTTAATTCTGAAAGATTGGTGATAGAATATGAAACTTTCACTTTCCGGTTACCTGTTAAAACCGGTTACTGGTTTTATTGCTTTCGGAATCAAGATTGCCTAGAAGTAGTTAAAATAAATAAATAAATAAAAAATAATAAAAATAAATGGCTGCTCATTTATCAAGGTATTTATATCTCAGAAAAAATTTTCCTTGTTATACTGACACTTCTTTCATTTTGGATCCTCAATAATTATCTTTGAAGTTTCAAAATTCACAAGGGTAATTTAAAAAAAAACAACCCCCAAACCCTATTTCTCTAGAAGTGGGCATCCCTTACCAGTAGCATTCTTTTCATCTGATTAGATTAGACTGAACTAATTTAGAACAGGCATGTGATTGTTAAAGTGCCCTAATCAGGCCTGTAACAAAAATCCTGGTCGGTATTTTAAAAATGCACAAACTGCTCAGTTGTATTAGTAACCTGAGAATTTTTTTAGTTTTTCTGATAAACAGGTTCTGACTGTACAAGTATTGGAAACCCCTGACAGTTTCTCTCTTCCTAACTATAGTTATTCCTGGCGTAATTTTTCCATGTGTAATTTATGATGACAGAACAAAGTAGCTTCACAAATGGTCCCTTTTGCATCTATATATGCATTGGGGAAAGAAGACATCTCAAAGTATTTTCAGCAGCCTTTGGAACACAAGTTAAACAAAAAAAAAAAAAGTCTTCTTGTATCAGGATAAATGTCCAAATCTAGGTTTTTACTTGTATAATTACCTCCATACCTTAGCATATAGATAGCGATAAGGTATATAAACAAACCATTTTGTTCTGGGCACAGTAGGGAAGTTCCAATAAGGCCTGGAAATTGTATTTATTCATTAAATGTAAATAGATAACTTTTTCTCTCATCTCATCTATTGGATGATGTGCTTTTTCTTTAGGTCTTACATGAAACGTTTCCTCATCATACCTTTTTAATGAATGGTCTTATTCAGGGTGTGAAGGTAAGAATCCTTTTTAAGTGGAAGCACTAAATATAACTGATCAGCACAAAAAGGTTATATTTATAGGTGCACTGATACATTGGTCCTTATTGTATTGGCACCGATAAAAGGAAAATTGACATAATCGGCTTTATTTGGCTGATGTGGCTGATTTTAATGTCACTAATAAATGCTACGTGCACACACACAGGCAGCCCGGCAGCTTGGAGAGCAACGTCTGGCTGGTTAGTTTGGTTTGGAAGGGGTATAGGGGGATAGATCGAGGCCCCCACAGTGAGGGAGGAAGGGAGCTGGGCTGGCGCAGGCACTACCCAGCTGCGGTGGGCTACGGGCTGGAGCTGCGAGCGGCTTGTCTGGGGGTTGCAGGGAGGTGAAGGGCAGCTCCCACCACTGCATACACCCCTGAGGCGGCATTCTTCGGATCTGTGCCTTGGGAGGGGGTGGGCTGCTGCTGCAGGCTGGGGCCGGGGCAGTGCCAGGGTCTTTCCTGTGGGAGGGTTGGGCTGCTCACAAATCTGTCCCATTCCCTGCCCCAGCTGGGCAGTGTTTACCCCTGTCCCAACCCCACTCCTTCCCTCACTGCAGAGGCCTCAATCTGCCCCTTCCACCCACTCCCCAACAGACTTACCAGTTGGACACTGCTTTCTAAGCTGCCAGGCTGCATATCAACAGTCAGATAGGTATTGGCTGATATGGCTTGTTAATAATCTGCCATCGGTATCGGCCAAAAAAATCTTTATCAGTGCACCCCTAGTTATATTGGTTTTCCGCAATTTTATATAGTTTTGACTTTTGTTCTTCACAGTAGCTGCTTGAACACTTGGAATTGATTAAAATCATTTTTTTTCTTTGCCATAAAGAGCTTGTTCATCAATTCTAGAAGCCTGAATGCTCCTAACTTGCAAACAGAAGTCAAGGGTTAGGGAACAAATGTGGCAAGAGTAAAAAATTTTAGTTGAGTAGTATCTATATCCTTATGTAGATAGCAGATTTTTATAAATTTGTGACAGATGTTCACGCTTCTCACTGAGGTAATGTAACATTTTAAAAAAATGTAAAAAGTAAATAGCACTTTGTTTAGATACAAGCATGAAGTATTAGTCATTAGTCATTCTTCAATTATTTTCTGGAAGTTTTAAATATTTTCTCATGTGTCCTTAGTTAAGTGTTTCTCAACCAGGCTGTCATTGTAGCCAGTGGTGCCTTCAGATCCTTTTAAAGGTGCTGTTTAATGTTAGTATTATTAAGGTTACAAACATGTCTCGCAAGATAAATCCAGAGATTTCAAATAGAAATCCATAGCTGTGGTCTCTCTAAATTCTCTGTAACAGAAACCCTGCTCTGTTTTTCTTTAGTAAAAAAAGAGTTGGTGTTTTCCAAGGGATGCCTTGAGTCTGTCCAGGGGTGGCTCGAGTCTAAAAAGATTGAGAACCATTGGCTTAGTTTCATCCCACATTTAATTCTAATTGTATTCTATTCATTTTCCTCCACTTAAGATATGAATTTGTTTTTTCGTTCTTGAACCCGAACTCTAGGACACTGAACCCTTTGTACGGTCTTTTCATTAAAACAGGCTGCTGTGAGTGAGAAACTAGGTGCTAGATCTTGCTGTTACCATTTTTTACACAAAATTGTAATATACTTAGGAATATTTCATCATGCCTCTTTGGTATTTTCTGCTTGATTTTGAGGTGTGGAGAAATGATGTCTGATTCAGAGTTTAAAGCATAGATTCACAGATAATCAGCATATTAATATGTGAAATCTTGCCCCTTTTCTAGTTTTAATATGAATTGAAGAACAGCGTGTGAGAGAATACATGTGCAAGTAAAACAGATCAATGTAGTGACAAACTCCTAAGAAACGGAACAGTTCTAATAACTTAAAGCATTTTATATTTTTGTATCTTACACCAAAGTATGGTATAAACCAGGGATGCTCTACCTCTGACCTGTGGGCCGAACGTGGTCCATGAAACCATGACATCCAGCCTGCAGGGATCTCCATGGGTTGGGAAAAAATTAACAGCTGGGGAGCGGGGGAAACTGGGCAGATGGCTCCAGCCCTACCCCGGTCATTGTGATTCAATGGGATCAGGGCCAGGCTAGCCCCCATGTGTCTGGATCAGGCCAGGCTGTTCCTGTCCTCTCCATGCATCTGGATAGGTGCTGCTCCACTCAACCCCACCTCCCTGGCTTCCATATCAGAGCTGGTCTGCCCTCCACACTCCATCATGGATCTGGATCAGGCTGCTTCATCCTGCCCAGTGTGTCCAAATTGGGACCAAGCTGTCCCCTGTCCATCTCTCCTAGCTGTTTTCTGGGTGGAGATTGCTCCACCCAGACCCCCTCCTCTCACCTGGTGTATCCAGATTGGTGCCAAGGTGCTCCCCCTTGCTGTCTTTGGCTCATCAGGAATTGGGGTCACTCCACCCTTCCTGCCCACATGTCCAGATCAGGACTGGGTTGCTTTTCCTCCCTCTCCCCTGCCCAATGGGACTCCTCTGCTGCCCCTCCATGATAGCTGGAACTTGCACTCCACCTCTGGCCTGTGGGGCAAAAAGGTTGGTCACCACTGGTATAAATGTTTTTTCCAGTCTGTCCTGGGGTTGATAATAAGCAGCAATTTGATTAGACCCATCTTGAGGGTCAAAATATTGGCAGTAGCTTACAGCCTTTTGACAACTTTAGTGATAGTAGAAACAAACACTTACCAGTGTGGCAAGGATGAGACATTTTTGCAAACTTTCTTTAACGTAAGCAGAATACTTGGATTTTTTTCTATGCTTCCAAGCTTCTAGAACTATTGGAAGTGATAGGTATTTCCGTGTTTCAGCATAATTAGTGTAATTTTAACATAATGATAATATATATATGTTTTAGTAGTAGCATCATATACATTAAAAGAGCTCTTTCTAAGCAAATTAAGATATCAAAGTTGTAGCAGTAAGTATAAAACAGATGGGTTAGTGAGACATGGAAAGTTTTTTGTTTTCTGTTGTAAATTAGTTAAGTTTCGGTTATTAGTCTGAATTCATTTTTATTATACTGAAACGAAACTTTTGAAGAAGTAAACATGCTCACTTCCTGTGTTTTCTTTTGAGGCTTACTTAAGACTTCCCATGAATAAAGTAAAATATGAAAGAAAATATTAAAGAAAATAAAAGATTAAAGCAAGTGTGCTAAGTAACACAGATTTTTTTTTCTGTAAGAGGGTGTAGTGCAGAGGCTTCTAACCTTCTTAGACTTGAGGCAATCTCTATTTGACTCTGCACCCCTCCGTAACTTTTGTGAATTGAGTGGCACCCAATTTCAAAACCTAAGGTATTGCAGTGTTTACTTCCTTGTAGAGGAGGTCAGACAAGAGCCCTGAAGGGACAAGCTTGAGCCTGCACTTATCTCTTTATATCTGCTTATCTCCTCATACCTTACAGCACCTTTCAAAAGATTTCATGAGCCTCAGGGTGCCCTTGCACCCTGGCTGAGAATCAGTGGTTTAATTGCTTCTGAAGTTGCTTGTCATTGTTACAAGTATTTGTATAAACAAGCCCTGTTGTGATTTGAACTTCCTGTCACTTTTTATATCTAGTTAAAATAAAATGGATCATGAACTTTAGATTCATTGTAAATCTTAACAATTGCTCTACATTTTATATAAGTGTATGAGGAAGCGCTGTCATTTACTGCTCTTTAAGTGGAAATTGATACATAAGTATGGTGCATGTTAGAGCTGTAAAGTAGAATTGCATTAAACTTGTGCTATAAATTTATGAATTATTTCAGAAGGTGTAATATATGTGGGGAAATGGCATATCTGACTGTTTGTCTTTTGATTTAATGAAACGTTTTATGGAAAAATAGTGTGGCTGTTGCAGTTGCTTCAAATTTGTATGTTTAATATAACTGTTTTGGGCCCCAAGTGATTTGGTAAATCACTTTACCACATACTTTAGTGAATTTTAGCTCTAATGGACAAAATCATTAGTCTGCATATGAGTAATACACTTTGTTCTCACTGAATATGCTCTGTTTAGCTTTCCAGTTTTCATTTTTCAATTTTAATAATTCCAAGAGAAGTATAACAAGACTATCAGTACCTGAACATTTAATTTCTCTGTCCCTGGGCATCTCTTACAGCCTGCTATGTCATAGTGGTATATAGATTTCTGATTGTTGTAATTTTCAGGAGGATGATATATCACAATTCAGATGTGAAGTTTTAATGATGTGGAGTAGCTATTTCCCATGTGTTTACTAAGAAAACTGTAGTTTTCACTTAAAAAGCAGATTTGCTTGTTTTTTGGACTTTCTGCAGACTTAACAGAGTAGTGTTGAGGCAAAAGCAGCGTTCTACTGATAAGGAGTCAAGATAATCTTGTTTCAAATTTTTATAATTCATTTAGTGTTGCAGCAGCATAAAATACATTTGAGACACCATTCTTGACAGAATGTCTGACAACACACCCTGGTATATTGGGTGTCTTGACCATGTAAATTATTATTTTGTCTTCAGGAAGATGATGATGGGTAACTGCCATCTACTGTTTGGATACTTTCTTCTTACAGATTTTAGTTCAATGGTAAAGGTGTCCTAGGTTAAAAGAGGCAGTTTTACCCTCACTTTCACCCTAAGACTGGTTGTATTCTGCTAGGCAAGGGGTTGAAGGAGAAGGAATGAGAGCTTTTTAAAGAGATTCCTTCAATTTAGCATTTAGCCTTTATTTGCTAAGATTTCAGGCATTTAGCAAATGGGCAAACAGTGTTTCAAAATCAAGGGACAGTTTTCATTGCCTAAACCAGACTAAACCCTTTGTTACTGAGGGCGGAGAAAATTGAGTAATTGAATTCTGCTGGAAGTTATGGTAGAAGAAAAACAAACAAACAAACAACCTACATTCAAGTACTTCATAGCTTGCTTTTGCACAGATTTTTAGTTATAATTTTAATATCAATTTTATAATTTAAAATACAAGACTTAAAGGAGAGTTTATAGCTACAACTCATGCACATGGAGTTCTGCCTATGCATCACATAGCAGTGATGCACTGGTGGCAAGTCTCATCTCCTCCTATGCTGAAGTAATCTTTTTAGGCTTTAATCATCTCTTCCTTTGACAGGAACAGTTCTCTGTAGCTTCCATGGGCTCCAGGCTGCAACAGATGCAGAATGTTAGGTCTCCATCTTATGTATATTATGAACTACTATGACCACATTGCTCCATACTCAAAACATTGTATTCCTTCATTTGTTTCAAGGTCCAATTACAAATTATTCACTGGCCTTGTAAATGATGTGAGATTTTTTTAGGGCAATCCCACCTATTAGTACTCAATCTGGCAGTTCTGGAAGCTTGCTGGGATCATGACCCTGTTGCTTTTTTCTCAAATTACTAAATGGGAGAAGAGTTTAGATGCCAGGCCCTCATGTTGCAATGGGAAAGGCTGAGACCCATTTCTCTCATCTCTGGTGTGTCCTTTTGCACATCTTGGCCAATGGTTTTGGCAATCTCACAATAGCTTTTCAACATGTGTAGTCTCCTTGTATCCTGCCTTTTATATATAGCTTGCCTTGGAAAAAAAATCTCCCTTTCAGCTAGAGGTGCACCTATACATTGGTCCCATATTGGATCAGCAGACATGAGGAAAAAAACCCCAATTTCCAATAATCAGTTTAGGTTGATGTGGCTGATAATGCCACTGATTAAATGCCCCATGCATGGGCTCAGCCACAGCCTGACAGCATGGAGAGGGCCTGACTGTAAATGTTGTGGGGGAAGGCAGGAGGAAATGGGCATGGGGAGGGGGAGCTGATCAAGGTCCCCACGTTGAGGAATGGAGTGGGGCTGGGGCAGGGGCAGCCCAAATAAGGCGGGGCACAGGATGGAGCCAGAATGGCTTGTCCAGGAGCACGGTGGGGAGGTGCTCCTGCTGCTACACACACCCTGGGAGTGCATGAGGCATGTGTCCCTGGATCTTTGTAAAGAGGGTCTGTCTCTTTTTATGAGCAGAATGAGGTCGGGCTGCCTCTGGGCTGGGGCTGGGCTCTTATTGGCGGGAGGCTGGGCCAGGCTGCGCTCGGGGTGGATGGCAGTGCTGGAAGGGGGGCATGGGGGGCTACAGTGAATTTTGGGGTGGCTGCAGCCCTCCCAGAGCCACTGCCCTGCGCCCTGAGTGCATCCTGGCCCAGCCTCCTGCTGGAAGGAGCCTGGCACTGCCTACCACTCGGCCCTCAGCAGCAGCCCCCACTCACCCTGTGCATAGATCCAGGGGCACAAACCCCACGCCATGCCCTCCCCGGGGTTTGCACAGCAGTGGGAGCTGCTTCTCCCCTTCCCCCCTCCCTCCCCCCCAACAAGCCACCATTTCCTCCCTCACTGCAGGGGCCTCAATCTGCCCCCCGACTCCCCTTCCCTCCCCCTCGCCCCTTCCCCCACAACAGACTTATGAGCCAGACGCTGCTCTCCCCACTGCCCTCCACATATTGGAATTGGATCGGTATTGGCCAGTGTGGCTCATTAAAAATTGGCTGTCTGTATCGGCCCAAAAATTCTGTATCGGTGCACCCCTACTTTCATCATCTTATCTCCCCCTGTATTCATTCCAGTTGTAGTGCTAAACTTGTAAAGTATGTGGAGTGAATGGAAGAGAATGTGCACAACTTAGTGTGCTTCATACTATTAATAATTAATTCTGCGATTCAAAGCACAAATTTTAAATTGTGCTTAGCAGTAGAACTTGATAATGTAGATCAAAATGCATTAGTAACTTCCCTTTCTTTCACAGGGATTTTTATCCTTTCTGAGTGCTCCATTAATAGGTGCTCTATCTGATGTGTGGGGAAGAAAGTCTTTTCTTCTTCTTACAGTTTTCTTCACTTGTGTTCCAATACCATTAATGAGGATAAGTCCATGGTAAGTGGTGCAGACTACAGCAGGGGGTTGTAGTATATAGTTGAGGAATTCAGTCATAGGAGCAGTGTTTTTTGGAAATCAAAGATCATGACGGGGGAAATTTTTCTTGTATGTGATTTAAAATATTCTAGTATTACTTTGTTCAAGGCTTTAATAAATTTTGTGTATGGGTGTGTACAAAGGGTCATGGAAGCTATGTTTTACACAAACGTAGCAATAATTGCTTAAAATGCTTAGAGTGCATTACATAACTATATAGCTTTCAGTATATAGCATACAATTACTATTTGTCTTTCAGACCTTTTGAATGCACTAATAAACAGCATTGTTTATGTTTTGAAAGCTGAATGAATGCCTAAATTTTATATAAGAAAGTGTAAAATGTGGAATATAGTAAATGGTGTTTAGTAGTTGCCTGTAAAGTTTTGTAATTTTAAACTTCCTTTATCTTTTTGTTGGTGGCATTTAAGGAAGTGAAAATATTTAATAACTTTCAATATAAGCCATCTTGGAGCCTGTATTCATGCTGTATGTCTCTCTCTCTCAAGCTTTTGGCCGCTGACAGATGTTCAGTTAAAGGTGTAATGGGACCTGATTCGCATCCCCAGCAATCCCGTCTCCTAATAAGGCACACATACATGGAAGGAGGCAGTTTTGGGATCGGGGATCAGATCTCAATTGTGCCCTGTTCCTAGTACAGGGGGGAGCCCAGGAGCATGATCCCAGGCTCCCCTGCATCAGCAAGCATCAAGCTTGGTGCCCACTGTACCCAGTCCTGAAAGCACTGGAGCATTGAAGGGCTTTTGCTCCCAAGGCTGAGAGCACTGCTTGATGCTGGTCTCACTTTAAATTTACAGTGCAATGGGAACCAGCTGCCAAGTTATTACACATAGTTCTGAACTAGAATTTTTAATAAACTTTAGCCTGTCTTTGGATGTAGAAAGTAAATTGTGGGCATTCTTTCCATCTTAAATTGTCTCTCTTTTTGCCTTAACTTTGTAGGTGGTACTTCGGTATGATTTCAGTCTCTGGAATCTTTTCTGTTACCTTCTCTGTAATATTTGCCTATGTAGCTGACATAACACAAGAACATGAGAGAAGTACTGCCTATGGATTGGTAAGTAATAGGTAACTTTTTTTTTTCTTTTAAGTCATAATTGTGGTTCCCAACGGACTTAATTTTTAATTGCATATAAATTCTCAATATGGGAAATGTTTCCTTGTCCAGACGTTGTGAAGCATATATAATTGGGTTTGTCACTCCAGAGGGACCAGGATAAAGTCAAGATTAGTGTACTGGACTTAAGCTTCAGGGATCAGCTTTCATTTTTATGATCTTCCATAGACTTCCTGATGTGATGTTGGGACAGTCACTTGCCTCCTCAGTACTTCCATTCTCTACCCTAAAATGGAGATAACTTGTACAGTACACACTCTCAAACATCTTGGTGAGAGATGAAAAATTGTGTATTAAGGATTGTGAGGCGCACTTCTGCTATGGCAACAAGTGCTATATAAGTACATGTACTACATATAAATCTTAAAAGAAGTAAGAAGCATTGCTTTTCCTGCATTCCTGGGAGCATCTGTGACTCAGATGTTGCTCTTCCTTCCCTGCTGCTTCTTCTGCCAGTCACCCACTGTGTTGCAGGGGAGGCAGGAAATGTAGTTGTGGCAGTTCTCTTTTGCTTGCTAGATCTGCCAGGCTGACACATCCCATCCTTAGAAAGGCAGGATCAGTCCATCTTTGGCTAGGGAATGCCTAGGGATTTCCACAAAGCCTCTAGGGCAGCCCAAAAGAAAAAGCAAATGAGAATTAATAATTATTTAGGTTGTTTTCTATTTGCTCCAGTGTCCTAACGTTAACCCTACACTGGGTTACCTAAGCACAGATCTTGCACAGACTGGTCATGGACACTGCTCTGTGCCATGCAGGCTTGGGCAAACATGTCAAATGTTAATCATTATTTGAACCAATTAGTTTCAGTTCATAAAATTAAAACATCTGAATGAAAGGAATGAATGCTGGCTTTCAAAGTTGGTGTTGGCTTTTTGTGAAGAATAACCTCTAACCATGAATTTTTCTAGCTACTTGCAAAAATAAATAGAAAAAGTATAACAACAGTAAAAGTCCTTACTAGGTAAGAGTCCTCAAATTAACGAGTGACCACTTCACTTCACTTTACTAGCTCCTCCTCTGTGTGTGTGTGTGTGTGTGTGTGTGTGTGTGTGTGTGTGTGTGTGTGTGTGTGTGTGTGTGTGTGTGTGTGTGTGTGTGTGTACTGAAGTACTACTGGTTCACTTCCGGGTCCACCACCGAGTGTGCCCTCCTGGCTTGGCGATCGGCTGGCGGGGGGACCCCCCG